AGGTATGATGACATAACAATGTTGATGTAATGACTGTAAGGTGTTGTAGAAGGGAAAAAATAATTTAAAAAAATCTGCTAATAAGAAATGTACATATTTCCATCTGAAATGAAAAGGCCTGGCATACTCTTAAGTATTTTTAATGTTTTGTGTGTAAAACTGCCCAGAGTTGCTGGGAGTGAAATGGAATGATGATGATGATGATGATAAAAGGATCTGGAGCATCACTTGAACACCGTCGTCATTGACAAAATCCCCATCAGTCAATTGCAAAATGCAGCTGGAGTTGGTACAACTTAAATCCTGAAAAGGGACCTTTAACACTATCAAACATCCACATCTGCCTATCTGCTCGATGGGTGGCTAAAATGCCAAATCCAGTCTGAACACCTGGCTGACTGCATGAAAAATAATTGTAACGGCAATTGAACATGATCGGCATTGACCAAATCCCCATCGGTCAATTGCATCGGCAGCTGGAGTCGGTACAACTTAAATCCTGAAAAGAGACCTTTAACACTATCAAACATCCACATCTGCCTATCTGCTGGATAAAAAATGCCAAATCCAGTCTGAACACTTGGCTGACTGCATGAAAAATAATTGTAACGGCAATTGAACCCGATCGGCATTGACCAAATCCCCATCGGTCAATTGCGAAAGGCTGTTTGATTTCGGAACAGCTCAAAATCCTGCAAGACCTTTAACATCAAACCCTCAACATCAGGGCAGGGAAAGGACTCAAGAGGTGGACCAAAAGGCCAGACCCAGTCTGCACATCTGGCTGACCGTTGCTTCTCACTTAGGAGTTCTGGCATTCGATTATCTCTGGGCTCCTCCGCCAAAAAATAATAATACAGTAAAGACTTCTAAGGCGAATCGATTAAAAATCCCTCAGCTGTGCAAGATGCTGGTGCATTTATGCACGCCCACTTTTACGGACCTCTTAGGAATGGGGTGAGGTCCACGGTAGACAGTTTAAGGTTAAAGGTTTGGGGTTTTTGAGGATATAGTAACAATGGAGTCAGGTAGAGCATTCCAGGCGTTGACCACTCTGTTGCTGAAGTCGTATTTTCCGTGACCCGTCAAAACCGCGGAGGACAAAATCGCGCTCGACGAAAGCGCGCATTTGACGTCATCACAGCGCGATGAAA